AAATTTTTTAAACACCACTGCTTCCCCCCCTCCCCGCAAGCACATCTAGAGATTGGAACTAACCCACAAGCACCATCTTGTAAGTTCTGGATTAGAGTTCTCTAGGGGCACTTCAGTTGTTAAAAAAAGACTCTGACTGTCTGGGTAGCTCATGTTTCAGCTTAAGGAGCTGCAGGATCCTTGTCTGGGAGAGAATGGGAAGGCAGCTCAAGCGATGGCAAAAGCTCAGATCTGAAGCTCCAGGTTTTCCCACCCTGGGTCTCATTCTTCCAGCTGGTTCAGTGGGCAAGTAGACCCTCTCAGCAAAGCCTGGGCTGCAGTTTCCCAAAGCTCACCTCTTGCTTTCGGACCAGCCACGTGACCACAGCAGCCCTCTCAGGCTGGCTCCAGCCCCAGTCAGAGGGCCCCTCGGGTGAGCTTTGCTATATCTGCTCAGCTGCCCGGTCAGCTTCCGGGCTCCCCAGCGAGAAGCTTCTGGCAGCACTGGTCCAAGAACCCTCCAGTGTGCCAGGGGGAGCTTCTTGGTAAACCCTGACACTAATCCCTTTCCCTTCTCTCTTCGGGGGCCGCATGCCACAGCCATTGGGCACTTTCCACACTAACCAGCCTGGCTTTGGCCAAGGCTGAAGGCTCCTACCATGGCTAAGGGCACTTTCACTGGGGCTGGTCAAACCTATGCTGATCACAGGCTCTGCCTCCCCCTAGCGATGCCACCTGGGGCCACCATGTTCACCTCTCTGAGCTTCAGTTTCCTCCTTCAGAAAGCAGAGATAGTGATGGCCCCCACTGCCTTGACATAAAGGTCACCAGAGTGAAAGCATGGGGACTGCTTAGTACAGGGTTCCAGTAACAGTGGGGAACAGGAGTACTGCCAGTCCCTGAGCCTGGTTCAGCCCCACCTGGACCTGGACCCAACATTTGAGAGGCCTTCCCCTCTGGCTGGCCCAGCTTGAGAACCCCAGCACTGCTGTGAGGTGGGGGAGACAGACTGAACCTCTGACCCTTCCTGGTAGGCCCTTAACTTGCAGACCTTTGACCTTTCTCCACTTCTGGGTGCAGGTTTGCATCAAGTGAGCCAAGCCCCCTCTCTCTCCCCACTCTCCCCAGACCCCCTGACTTAGGGTACCCAGGTATCTGACATGGAGATGACCCCACCTCCTGCAGGATGTGTTCAGGACTTTGAGATCCTACCACCTACCAGAGAAGTTCCTGGTGGCCAGCATCGTGGTGAGGATAGCTCCCTGCAACAGGTGAGAGGAGAGGGTGTGGGAGAGAGAGAAGAAGCCGAAGGTGAGGGGGAGAGTAGACAGAGAAATGGGTGATGAGTGGGGAAGAAAAGGCAGGTGCTCCATTCAGACAAAGCCAAAGCCTTCTGCCCCTCCCTTTGTTCCCCATTGCACAGTTCAGGGACCAACTCCCACCTCCCTTGAGAAATCAGGGTGAACTCAACCTTAGCTGACACCATTCCAGGGACAGGGCCATCCCAGGAGCAGATATTAATAGGTTGCACCGGCCTGGCCAGAGCAGGTGGATGGGCTAGGAGACACCTGTCAGTGGGGGCTGCTAAAGGCCAAGGAAGTTTCCTGCCTGAGCAAGAACAGTAGACCCTGTGCCCCTGGGCCCCTCTCCATCCACCTCTGCCTGGAGCACTCAGCACCTCACTCTAGCACTAGCACATCCCTCTGTGGATACTGGGCTCGCAACCCTGGAAGGTTAATGTGGAAAAACCCTCTTCTGTCAACAAGGGACTGGGGGACAATCGCCCTTCTGGTTCTGACACTGTCTGATTTGGACACTCTCTGAGTCCCACAGTCCATGATTTTAAGAATTCCTGATTCTGGCATTTTGAGACTTCTTCTGTGACAGCTCCCACTAGTTTTCCTGGCATCATGCTGGCTGCCACCCACTTGGCCTATGCCCCCATCCTGAGCCACCAGACCAGGCTTGGGAGCAATTGGTGAGAAGGTTCCCAATGAGCCAGGGCCTCAGCATCTGTCACTCAGCATGCTGATGGCTTCTCTGTTCTGAGCAGCTGGGGACCCCTCGGTCGCTCTTCCTACCTGCTCATGGGGTCTCTGGCAAGGTCTAGGCCAGGAGTTGTCATGGCCCTGGGAACACACAGGACCTGCTGAGAGGCCAGCAGCTCAGGGTTCACCTGGTTCCCCTGGTAGCTTCCTTGAGGTCACAACCCATACCCAAGTCTCTCAGCCATTCCTCCCAGTGCTTGGGGCCTCACCCCCAAAGTGACCTCCTGCCCAGTCACATGTCACCTCTGAAACCTCTGCTGAAACACTGCAGTGCCCCTAAGGGATAAAGCTCATACTTCCAGACTTTTTCCACAGGCTTGTCTTTCTGTCCGGAACACCTACCCACTCTGACTCTACACCACTAAAGCCTGCTTGTCTTGCAGGGTCTCAGCTTCAATGCTACTTGCCCAGGGAGGCTTCCAGGATCCTTCCCTGGTCCTTCTAGACCTGGTTCATGGCCCTGCTGTGTATACCCACAGCCTCAGGGCATTCGATCACAGCTCGCCCCTGCCCCATAATGTCCCAGCTACATCTGTCTTCTCCACTGCACACTGCCCTGCCCAGACAGCAGGCGTTCAATAAATGCTTGTTGACTCAGTGAAGGAAAGAACAGTGAGTGGTTCTCCTGGCCTCTGTGGAGACGAAGGCCAAGCGACTCCTGTGCCTGGGGCACGGAGGGTGAGGGCTGGTTACCTTCAGTTTTCTCCTGGCGTTGAACTTCTTCAGGCAGTCCACGGTCTCCTGTCTGTGCATGCAGGACGCCACGGTGGACCGGTGCTGGAGGAAGCGGGGAAGAGGGCTGTGAGTGGAAGGCAGACTGCCCAAGGGCCCCTCAGCAGGGCGTCTTATGGGTGTGGTTGGCATCTTGGGGGAATAATTTTTTGTTCTAGGGGATGTTGTAAACATTGCAGGTGCTTAGCATTCTGGGCACCAGATAATCAATGCCAGTAGCCCCCCAGTCTTAATGTCAACCTCCCATGTCCACTTCCCACTGAGAGTGGCACCAAGGTCAGTGTCTCTTGGATTAAGCCCCCTTGGCCCCAGGCTGGGCCTGAGAGGCCAGCGTCAAGGACAGGACTCTGTGAAGGCCTTGACCCTGAGATCTGGAGGGGATCCTGGGGAGGGGCTTGCTGAGGAAGGCTCACCGAGATCCAGGGGTGCTTGAGGGCCTCAGCAGCCGTGATGCGTTTGGATGGGTTGATGGTCAGCATCTTATTGATCAGATCCTTGGCTTCTGGGGTCACGGTGTCCCACTCTGGTGATGGGAACTGAAAGGGGCAGAGGGGCCAGGTTTGCCCAGCCTACCCCAGGCCACCCCTGCGATCCCCCAGCCCCTGACTGGCAGGGGAGCAGGCAGGGGTCCTACTGCCTGTCCACTTGGGCATCCACAACCAGGAGGAGCTGGGGCAGGGCCCCCTGGCCCCAGGACAAATCTGAACAGCGGCCAGAGGGAAAGGAGGCCTGCCTCTGCTATTCTGAGGCTGTGCCTTATCTGGAGAGCCGCAGGCCTGTGGTTATAGCCCAGACTTCGGGTCGCAAGGCTGCTTCCTGGGCTGGGTGCCTTGGACGAGTCACCCTTGAGCTGTCCCTGGAGGTGTTGTGAGGATTAAGTGTGGTATAAAACACCTGGGACATAGGTTTACAGAAATCAGCCATGTAGAAAAGCAGTATAGTTTGGTAGTTAGAAGCACAGACTCTAGAGCCAGGCTGCCTGAGTTCATATCCCAGCTCTACCGTTTCTTAGCTGTATGATCTGGGCAGTTATTGAACCTCTCTGTGCCTCACCTGTAAAACGAGGATAACAGTACCTATGTCATAGATCGGTTTGAGGATTAATTGTAATAATCTATAGAAGGCCTTTAGAAGAGTGCTATACGAGTGCTAGCTATTATTATCTGTGTGTATATGTATAGATAGATGGCCGGATCTATCTATATCTATAGAGGGAATCCGGTTCCCGGGGCCTGCTCCCCCACCTCTCGCAGTACTTTGCTGCTGCTTCTGCCCTCTGGGGCCCCATGGGCTAAACCCCATCACTTAGAGGCCCGGTCACAGCCCCTCGCCTGGCCTCAGTCAGCCCTCAAGCTCAGCCTGCCGTCCACCCCCTGCCCCACCACTAGAGAGTGGCAAGGAGACCTTGAAGAGCTGGGAGGGCGAGAGGGGGGCGTCCTAGGGTCCTGACCTCACTGGGCATTGATTTTCACTGGAAGGAGCCCAGGGGATGGCAGGGAGGCTGGAGAGAGGAGTGACACTCACATCATAGGCGCCGGCTTTGATCTGCTGGTACAAGCGGTGCTGGTCTTCATCCCAGAATGGGGGATACCCAACTAGCAGGATGTACAGGATGACCCCTGGGGAGAGCACCAGGAGGAGCATCAACCCCTTGTGAGGGGGAGCAATGCAGGAGGGGAGTGATGAGAAAGAAGAGAGAGGGCGCAGAGGTGCAGGTGGCCAGGGGGAGCCAGGGGCCTTTGGAAGGACTCACCGCAGGCCCACAGATCCACAGGCTTCCCATACGGGTCCTTCCGCAGCACTTCTGGAGAGAGGTATCCAGGTGTCCCTGCGAACCCTGCTCCCCAGACACACAGACAGGCAGACACACACAGAGGGTGGTGCGTAAGTAAACCAGAGCAAGGTCCTGCTGGAAGAGGGATGCAGGTTGCCCTGGAGATGGCAAAAATGCCCCCTGCCCTCAGACGGGGCCAGCAACACCTCTAGACCAGGGTAGATAAGTACATAGTACCCTGGTCACCACCCCCATTCCAGAGCCTATGGCAGAAATCATTGATCAATCCCAGAGCCCTTCCCATGGGGTCCTGACTCAGCACCATAAACTTCCAGCACAATCCTCCTAGCAGCTACTACCAATCAATTGCTGGTGGTACTCAAGATAAAATGTCCTTGCCACGTCAGCCCCAAGCTGAGCTGAACCTCTGCCCACTTCCCACCCCTTCTGGGAGCCTGTCCCTAGCTCTGGCTTTACCCTAAATCCCTTGGGTAGGTCTTTTTTCTAGGGGTCAGTTTCCTCATCTGTCAAATGAGGGATTAGGGATTCCTATCTTAAATACCTCCCAGCATTGTTGGGAGAATCAATTGAAATAATGGACACCCCAAATATTTTAACAAGTAATCGTCAGGATAGTTCCTGTTTATTGAGTGTGTGTGCTTAGCAGGGCTGAGCGCTTTCCATGCCTGACCTCATTTAACCCTCACACAGCCCTGAGGAACACCCAATTACTATCCCCATTTTACAAATGAGAAAACAGGCTAGGAGAGGTGAAACGAAGCCCAGTCACAGGCTCACATGTAGCAGAGGCCGGATTTGAACCTAGAGCTTTGGTTCTTAACCACTGATCAGTATTGCTCACTAGAAAATATCCCCAGATAGCTAAAAAGACTCATTTATGCCCAAATTTCAGAGCATGTTGGATCATCTGAGCTTAAAGCCTGGCTCTACCCCTTCTAACCTCCCTTGGCTTTTGCCAGGTTTCTTAGCTTCTGTTCCTCAGCTGTGAAGTAGGGGTAATAATCTCTAGCACTCAGGATGCCAGGGAAACTCATAGAACCCTCTAGCCAACATGACAGTGTTCATGCATGTGAAGAAGCTATGCACCGCTTGAGTGATAACTGTGTCCCTGCACTGGGACCCAGGGAGAGGGGCAACACCCACTGACCGAGAGGCTGGGTGGGAGTGACCTCTAACTCTGCTACCTGAGCTCTCGCTAGTGCCACACCATCTCCAACCTGCCCCTGTTCGGGCAGAGGGTTCCTAGAGGCCAGCATGTCAACACAAGGCTGGCCCCCAACACCCCTGCCTCCCC